ACGTGGAGAGAAGAAACAGAGGAAAGTGTTCCGGTGGAGGTAGAGCGTTTGGGAGTCGAGTGGACACGGGGTGAATTCCAGAAGGGACTGGCTGGTAGTGCAGAACACTTCAGGAAACTGCTGAGAAGCGTTGGAAGACGGGCATGTAGACGTACAAGCAGCAGGGGACAGGGTGATTAAAGGGTGCGAGTCCATAGAAAACACAACGGCAGAGGGAGTAGTGGGAAAGAAGGTGGTACGATGTGGGGTGTCGGTTAAAGTGGTGGGATGACGAGCTGAAAGAAGAAATAGGGGAACGTAGAGAAGTCTTCAAGCAGTACCTGAGTGAGGGGTCTGAGGGGAGTTGGGAAAAGTACAGGGCCAAGAGAAAACAGGTGAAGGGATTAGTGAAAAAGAAGAAAAAGTGCATTTGGGACGAACTAAATAGTGCAGAAGCCCCACGGAGGCCTGGAGGGGAACGTCAAGCGGGGGAAGGGATTAGTGGGATGGTAAAAAAGACCGCGCAGGAGGGAGATACGGGGGTAGCAACTTTGCGAGGTGTGAACGGTGGACTAGTCAGCAGTGGGAAGGGAAAAAGGGAAGTTCTAGCAGGACACTACAAGAGACTTGGAGTGACGTCGGAGAATGAAGCTTTTGACCAAGTGTTTAAGAAGGAGGTGGACGCATGGGCCCAGGAAGAAGAAGAAATATCAAAGACAGACGGTGGGAACGTAGAGCTAGAAGGAGTTCACTGATGAATAGGTTGAGACTTGTGTGAACAAGCTGCAGTGCCACAAAGCAGCAGAGGCGGATGGAATATTCAAATAGTTCATGAAGTTTGGGGGAAAGGGGATCATCCAGCTGATGGTACTGCTGTACATCTGGGTGTGGAAAAACGAGCATGCGCCAAGTAGATGGAGGGAAGGGGTGGTTGCGAACTTGTTTAAGAAAGGAGACAAGACTGACCCTGGAAACTACAGGGGGATCACACTGTTGAACACAGTAGGAAAAGTGTTCTGTAAGCTGCTGAACGATAGGATAGTGGGGAGTATTGGAGAAGTAACGTAGGATAAGTGAGGGTCAGGCAGGTTTCCGAAAGAGGAGGGGGTGCGTAGACCACGCATTCACGGTAGGGAGAATCATCCAAGGTAGAAAGAGGGCGGGAAAGCCGACGTACTGCTTCTTCCTGGACGTGCCATTGGCATACGATACAGTATGGAGTAATGGGCCGTGGACAATTGTCCAAGTACGGGATCAAGGGGAACATGTGGAGAGTGCTGAAGAAGATGACAGAGTGTACGAAAAGCGCGGTCATGCTAGACGGAGAACTGGCGAAATTCTTCAACATTGAACAGGGGATCCCACAAGGTTGCACGCTGTCCCCAACATTGTTCCAGGCATTCATCAACGATCTGTCGAAAGTCGTAGAGGCAGTCGGGAAGGGAGTAAGGTAGGGGGAACGGAAACTTCGGTGTCGGGAATGCTGTTTGCCGATGATTTTGTTGGTATGTCGGACACCCCTGAGGGACTGCAACTGCAAATTGACGCGGCGAAGAAGTTTACTAATGAGTGGAGATTGCTGCCAACGTTAAGAAGATTGCCGTCATGGTTTGCAACGACGACAGGGAGGAAACCAGTAGAACATAGATGGAAGAGGAGGATCGAGGAGCTTGCAATAGTGGACCAGTACACATACCTCGGAGTAGAGATCGCAAAAGACTGCTCGTGGAATGCACACATGTCAAAGGTAGCGGAAAAGGGCAAAGCACGAGCAGGGAAGCTGCACCCAATGCTCGCAAACCGGCACCTCGATTCACGCATCAAATTGACGGTTTTGAAGAGCGTAATCGTACCGTCGCTAGAGTACGCCGGAGAAGAATGGGAAGGAAATACAAGAAGGTAGTCAAAGAGCTCGAGGCGGCGCAGATGAAATCAGCGAAAGTCATCCCAGGATGCTCAAAGCGCACAAGTAATGCAGCAGTCAGGGTAGAACTGGGGATACGACCCCTACGGTCGGGAAGAGACGCAAGGAAGCTGACATGGCAGTATCGCATGTACGGTATGGGAGAGGAGAGGTTGCCGAGAATAACCTGGGAGGCGAAGTGGGCAAGAAAAGAGGGGTAGACAACCCACGGAGTGGGTCAAGGTTGTAGAGGACGTATGGAAGGCGTTAGACATCGACGAAGATGAAACGCTGGAAACGGAGGGTCTAAAGGGGTTCAAGGAGAAGATATCTGTTGCTTGTGCCGAGAGAGAACAACAGAATCTAAGGAAAGAAACGGAGGACAAGGAGGGTCTAGAAGTGTACGGAATGTTGAAAGAAGGAACAGGGTTCAAGTAGTACCTACATGGACCAATGGATGCAGGGATAAAGCTGAAGGTAAAATTCAGGACCGGGGACAATAGGGTGTTTGCGGACTGGTGTTTGGATTTGATCTTGGAAGTCCGTAGGAAGACCGACGTGAGATCAAAAAATGATCTCAAAATCAGCTTGCGAAGACCCGGTGTAATGTTTTCAAGAAGTCATGCGATGTGACGCTACCAAATGGTAGCCGTTTGCCCTTTTGTTTTCTGCTCACGTTCAGACATACATGCACGGAGGAACTCACGCTTTTGCTTCGCCCGTCCGTGCAGAGCCCTGCCTAACTAACATGTATGTATACGCTGTCAAACAAACTTCCTTCTACTGAGTGCGATGAGCCATCGAACATAGATGATCCGTATTACAGTATTTGTGTTGCGCGCTCTAGCTAGAGGCACAACACCAACAACGATTGCTGTAAACGCCGTGCATGCTGGCTCCTTGCGACATTTTGCTGGCGGGCGCACGACACATCACACTATCACTCTAGACCACGCAGTTTTGTAAACGCCGATCTCCACGGAACCTTTTGGGTGCGCCCTTCTTCCTCTGAGTTACAGTATTTGCTGCGATGTAACGTCTGTTGGTTGTCGGAGGTAGGCTAACTCTGGAGACAGAGGTGTAGCGCGTGCTGCGTAACGCGTGAGCTTCTTCCTTTCTTTCTGAGCGGTGTGTGTGTGTGTCGTTTGTCGTTTGAACAAGTTCAACAACAATCAATCTGTACACAACCAACCGAGCGTGTGTTGTGAGGTGCTGCGCCAGCGAGGAATGCACCATGTCGACAGCATGCATTGCACCGGGTCTGGCGTGCAGTGACGACTGTCTAACTGTCTTGCGGCTGTAGTTTTGGTTTGCCATGGTCGTGGTGTGGTAGTGTATCACGGCCGAGGTGTGGGTGCATAGCTAGCCTCACGGGCTGGTGGGGCATGTGTCGGGAGGACGTCGGGAGTATCTCGGGGAGTGTAGGCCAACCAGCAACTGTTGCAAAAAACATAGATGCGAGCAAGATGAAATTGGAGCTTTTCTGCGGTCTTTGGGGGCGATTCTTAAAGCGAAAGATCAAATTCCAAAAAATCCAGCGGTCTTCGGCGCTCGGGTGGATAAAAAAGATCGAAATCAAATCGAAATTTGATGTTCGCAAACTCCATATTGGCCTTCGAGAACGTAGATGAAGATTTCGGAAGGTAGACGATGAAGACGATAAAGTTCAATTGTGAATGCGACGCCGACTGTGAAGACCGGGTTCCTGTAGATGCTGTGTGTTCACCGAAGAAGAAGGAGAGGGCAGTGCATATGACTCAACCGGGAAAAATAGAAGGAAGGTACAGGGAGATGTTTGAGCCATGAAACAGCGAGGAAAAGAACTTAGCCGTACTGGGACATAGGAAGTGGGTTGAAAAGGCAGGAAGTGATATCGATAGGACAGATAGACTAGGGAAGATATTTTTGAGCCACCTTTGGCAAAGTAGGAAGGAACGATTGGCCATCGGTGATCGTTCCTGTGGGAACAATGCTCCGTCCTCTCGAGGACGCGTGGTCAATGGTCACCGCTAAGGCACGCAAAACGTAAGAGTACACCCCCCCCCCCACCCCCGGTAGATGGAAGAAGGGGCTCGAAGATATAAGAGGGTCCAGGGCCTTTGTCACACCACCCTCTTATAACTTATTACATTGGAATATAAACGGAGCCACACGTTGGACGCACCAGTCGCGGTCACACACGAGGAAGGCCACCTTTCCTTCGTGGTGCCTTCCATTTTGAAAGCGAGAAGGGCTGCTCAGTACTCCCTCCTCTCATCGTTGTGCCTGCTCACGCTGTGGTACTCTTGATAGTGCTACATGTGCATATGCGTAAATGTCAAATAAATCTATCACAAACCCGTACTCGACCCTTCGTACCTCAACAGCTTCTCTAGTGTACCATACTTCGAAAGGAGCATAAAAATATACATTTGGCTTATATTTTTCAATTTTTTTAATCTCTCAGTTGTATGACCCAACGAATCCATCTCTAAGAAGAGAGATTAGCAATATGAATCCATAGCGTCAGCGAAGGCTACATGTATATGTTGGGAGCATTGGAACCTGCTGCCTAGGGCTACACAGCAGTACTCGGAAGATTTCCGAAGGTTCGTATGTACCAACTCTGCTGTCGTTGGGGATTTGTAGCGGTATTTTGCGTCCCGACACTCAATCACAGCTTCTACTTGGAAGAATATTGTACAAGTACATACAGCAGTAGATGAGGCTCTCCATGACGGCTGTGTGTGTAATACAGCAGTACTCAAGTAGCGTGTATGGTGGCTACAATGTATGCATATCTGCACATGCACCCTTCACGAGCAGTGTGCTTTGTCAAAGGTTATGTGTACTTGTATGGACACCACATTTTTCCAAAGGTTTCATGTAGACTAGTGTTCCAACACATCTAGTGTTCCAACACATCATGCCGTTTAGTTGGTTCAGGGCTAGGGTTGGGGTTAGGTTAGCGGTATCTCTGCTCGTATACACAGCAATACTACTGAATGCATAGGCTATTGCAGGACAACGCAAGCGAACCGCAGCCGAGCACCTGCACCACATTTTCAAGTCTAATATGTATATACACATACTTGCAGACATATTTTCATGGTAACTTTCAGCACACTTTTTGGCATACCTCCTTGATCAACCTCCCGCGCAAATTGGTAGAAAGACTGGACTAGCTTTCCAATGGAAACGCTCGAGCGTTCCTGTTCTCCACGCCACTGCCAGGCTCGTTGGAACAAGCAGACCCCTGTCTCCTTGTCGATTACGCTGAGGAGCCGCAGTTTCTCGGTGCCGCCGTTCATAACTGCTGATTTCTTCGCTTTCCACTTGAAAGGCGTTCGCTTTGGTGCGAAGACTACTTGTGCAGGACTTGCCGTGTGCCTGCTGACTTCCCTCTATATCAACTTGTCTGCGAGTGCTGCTGCTGTACGTATGTATACGCCGTATTCGATATACTGCTGTAGCTTGTCACCACGTTCACCCGGGCAGCGGGATTTCAAAAAAAAGACGCCCCGCGATTTGTCCGGTGTGCGCAGGTGTTCTAAAACAGTACCAGCGGTATTTTTTTTTTTTTGTCTCACTTCAAATCATCAGCGCTCACAGCACTGGTAGTGCCGTTTACTCCAACCCGTGGTCACACAGAAAAGCCCCTCTCTACCCTCCCCTCCTGAGGTACTTTGCCTTCGATTTCTAATGCGAGAAGATTTCAGCACTCTCTTCCCTCTGTGTACACACGAACTTAGCGCTATCAACTAGGCCAGGAGCGGAAGCCAGAGAAAACTCACTTTGCAAGAAAAGCTCGCTTACGCCGGGATTCGAACCCCTGACCTGACCTCTATCTAGAAGGTTTCGAGGACACCAACTAGACCACCAGGGCGACCGGCACGGTATGCATACATGTTGAGAGTTTTCCGCGGGTGCCCGGCTCACAGCACAGCAGTGTCAAGAAATGCTCTTCTGGCACGTCTGCTGACATGTACTGCTGTGTAATGTTGTCATGGGATGAGCATGTTTTTGTCTTCGTCGTTGTTCACCAATGCGCTGCGCGGGTTGTTTTGTCCTATACGTTGTTATCTTGTTGGTCTAGGCAACAGACAGCGCTTCAATAACACAGGAGAGTTAAAATCACGAGCTGCTGTTGTACAGCTTTGTGCCCTGTGAACCATCCGCTTCTCCCTAGCGCTAGCCGGCCTCCCGAGGCCGCATGGTGGTGCCAACGCGCGCGAACACACAACGCTCACGGTACAAAATTAATGGTTGCCGATATAAACCTCACAGCAGTCTACCCTACAACAATGGAGCAACCCTACAACAATGGCACGTCTCCTTTCGTTGCCCTTTTTGACTCTCGTGGCGTCACCGTACAGCAGCAGAGGCTATTCGCACGACATGGTAAAAGCCAAATGGCTAATTGCACGAAATGCAACCTTTCCTAGGTACCCGCTCGTTGAAGCTGGCACAGAAGCTCTCGTTTCGGTCAATATCGCAGCAAAGCGCAGGAATGTGTTGAGAAATTGCGAATTATTGCGGGGTGATTGCTTTGTGCCGCAAGAGGTGTGCAGGTCGGATGGCGTTGTAAATTGGCACGCACATGTGTGGACAGTGTTTTGCGTTGGCTGTCCAAGTTTCGTGGACTTTTGTGAGCAGGACGCGGAATTATCGATGCGGCCAAAATTTCGTGTGCTGGGCAGCGCAGCGCAACTCTACTCGCAAATCAGCCGAAACGGTGTTCGTTGCCTTGTTCGCTCCCCTCGCCACCGTCCTTGCCGAGACTTGCGCAGCATGCCTATTTCGTCCTAGCGCATCGAGCCGCGGCTAGTATGGGGCTGTATCTTGCTCGGTTGCGGGGTACGCCGTGGCGAAAAAATGCAAGGGGTTGCCCGAGAGGCGCCTCAGCGCCTCTGATTTCGGGGGCTACAGGCGGCCCGCACTTAAGAATATATGGCAGTTAAGAATATGAGCCTAAAAAAAATCCAATTTTTAAGAACATGCCAGCAAGAACACGTGCTCAGATCGGACGTGCTGTTAAGAATAAGAACCCACACATGAGGTGTACGACTGGTGCTACAGATAAGAACATATGCGCAGGATGAAGCTGCCCTTATACAAGTACAGCGGAGATCCAGACGCGGCGGTAGGCTCGTGGGTTTTGCTTGAGAGCGTCAGTAGGGCGGGAAGGGTACGCACCCCCAACGTCACTCTTGCGGACCAAGACGGTTGACAGTTGCCCCATGGGGGGGTATTTGCGGGTATGAAACTCTCCGTCGAGTGCAGTTGAGAGTAGTGCACCAATTGAGCAATCGAAGCTGAAATAAGAACAAGAACACCGTTTCTGGAGACAGGTGGACGATGAAATAAGAACTTGGCAAATGGGCAGGCATGGCCGCGAACGTCGGCGTCGTGGCGGTTTTGTGGCTTTGTTGAGCTCAAAGAGTTCAGCCGCGGAGAAAAAGAGCAAACAGGTGTCTCCACTAAAAACAAGTCAAAGGGGTTTTGAGCGAGGCAAAATGCCTGGGTTTGGCGCCGGTGTCGCTTCGATTGAAATTCCTTCGACAGGGCCCTCGAGGGGTAGGTCTCGCGAAGGCACCGCCGCGATCTCATGCTCGTAGCTTTCGCGAGCCGAGATAAATCAGCCGCGGTCAATTTTCTCCGGTCACTTTTTTCCCGGTCAAAATTTCTTACAGTTGTAGTAGTATGCGTTTTTTTTTTTCCGTAGCTGAAACCAACCCTAAACGGATCCTAAACGGATTGGAATTGTCGTTCTTATTATTCAAGACCGGGGGACAATAAAAAAGTCAAGCGACCAAACAGACAGCCAGAGTAGGTTTACGGGTTACCAGTCAGTGCGAAACAACAATAAAACAGCGAGACTCCTTGGCTGAAAACTGATAACAACATAGACAGAGCATGCTTACACGCTCTACCTCTGCACGAAGAGACAAGGCACGTGAACCACGATGTCGTGAGCCCCGTTGCTCAAGCAATCTCAGTCACTCGCTCACTGCTGTCGTTGTTTTCAAGCGGTCATAAACGAACATACACTGGTATGACATCTGTAGTGATTGTTGTCTCCACCACATGACAAACCGATCGTCAGAAGCACGTTGTTGCTCGCAGCCCAGAAAAAGCCGGAGGAGCCCCGAGGACTACGAGGCATTCGCGCGTATCAGCTTTCGAGACCCAGATACGTGGTTTCCAGACGTGGCCTGCGAAACCAGCACAACAAAAAATAGGGTGACACGGTCAATCCTGGCATTTCGCAAAGGATATCCCGAACAGCTGCCAACACATGCCTCCACTGAGGCTCTTGCCGCTTTGGCCATGCAACCGACGGGTGTGCAGAGCGAATGCCTTAGGATTGGCACGTAGACAGAAGCACAACAGAAGTAGACTCGGAAACAGAGCCGAATTTATTTGTACACGTGAGACACAACACCTGCCTCTGGGAAACATATTACTCTCGTTGACGACCAAAACCACGGTGAACGCAACTACGCTCAGCCTTGAAGTGCGTGTTGAATGCTTCTGGCAGCATGTTAGAGCGCATACCACATTCTCACCTGACCAAGGATTTTGATGAGACCCACACCATGGAGCTGTACGAGAACCCGCTGCGCAAAATTCAACTGCGTCACATCTAGGAGATCGAGCGCACCCGCGCTTGCGGGCTTTCTCCGAGCAGCTGTAACGTCTGGTTTGGATCGCGCGTCGCTTGTATGAACGCTTTCCTCCACACTAGGGACAACAAGTGCCCTTACCAGGCGCTGTCTTAGGACTTCTGCGTCATCCTCGCCTCGGTCGCCTCGAACGCCTGCAACCCAAGAACATACGCAAAATTCGCAAAGGAGGCGTTCGGCTCAAGACATCAATTAATTAAGATCAGAGCCCAAAATTTTCAGGCAAGCGGCCATAACACCTCAATAACCCTCTCTCGCCGTACCGGTATCAAACGTTGCCTTCGCTGCCGGCTCCGACGAGCGCAGCGAAATGACCGCATTTCGTCCCAGGCGGTCCTCTGCTTCATGGGTTGTATCTTGTGATGGCGGCTGTTTCCCGGAGGTAGGGGATACGTAGTCCGAATCTTCCAACCAAACCTGGCCGTCCGCCACGTCGGATATTCCATCGTTCTTCTTGTCCACCGGTTCGTCAATAACTCCCTCCGAAACACTCGTTATTGAGCTTGTCCCCACGACGACGGCTAGGTCTGCTTTGGGAGCGGGGGGTTTGCTTCGCTTGGTTGGCTTGTCGACCTCTGGTCTGCCGGATGACCGTTTTTTTACATTCTTGGAGTGATCATGGCTCGGTGCCCATTTTTGGTTTACGTGCGCAACAAGCTGTTTCTCCGCTCGTCGCTTGGCCCCCTTGCACTTTACGCTAACGCGAACTTCACGCAGTCGAGCTCTCCCCGCCCCCATAGGTCCTCGCGAGTCTTGTCTTTCTTCGTCTCCCGCAGCCGCTGGAATAGCCCCCACCGCAGCGAAGGCTCCTGACGAGAGGTTTAACCCGTACACGGCAGAGGCCCATTTCTCCAATCCGGCCTTGTGCTCTCTGAGAAAACGTTTCTGGTGTCCCAATACACCTAGAGCCCGCTGCGATGGTGCGAAACGAAGGGAACCTCCAGTTAAACATGCCCTACGTGGGCAGCATTGCCTGCTGCATTCATCATCAGGAACAGATATTCCTTCGCCTCAGAAAAAACTTGTGAAAAAACTTGGGCGAAGCCAAATGAGCGGCAGCCCTTAGATGCCTTCTGTCGCGTCTCACCTCCAACTCGCGGATAGCATCTGCCTCTTCTCGATCACTCAGCGCGCCCCCTTGTAGTAGCCGACTATGTGCGGAGAAAGACAGCGGCAATAAGGAAAGAGAACACTTAGACGAAGTAGAAGCGTGTGAGTGCTTCCGTTCGTTTGGGGGGAAACAATAGATGCAGCAAGCAGGAAGGGCCCAAAAGTGTAGACGGTACGTTTGAGATGAACCAGACCGAGCTCTAGATGGTGAGGATAAGGGACACAACACCGTCCGTATGGCGACAGGTCGGCGTCATCATCCACGCGAGAGAATGTAGCCAACAAATTGGAAACGGCGTCAGCCTCCGATTCTTCCTCCGCGGCGAGAAAAGTGATCGATATACTAATTCGCCCAGACCTGTTGATCTTCTTGAAGGACGAAACGCCAGAGAGTTTGAGCTGAGATGCAGTTGGCTCTGGCTTGCCGAACGGGAAGAACACGGGTGCGGTATAGCCAGGCGGTTCCCGACTCTCGATCGCAGGGGTCGAAGGAGCCACCACAGGAGCAGCAGCGATCATTGGGGCGGGAGGAATGACGAGGGCTGGAGGGACGCGTTCGTCCAGAAGCTCGAACAAATCTTCTCCCCCTGATATTCAGAGACACGCGTAATCCACACGCTATGAGCTAGATTGACCAAGTTATGCCAAGTGCAATACATGATGTGCGTCCAGGGTGGCAGATACATGCATCAAGCAATGAACATGCTTGTAGTTCCACCAGCCCAGAGTCATCGTTGTGAGGGGGAGTATGTCCGGAACTCTGTGAGAGAGAGATACAAGTAGTGCCGCCGTATTTCCGTGGCCACGCGTGGCCTTGCTGTGACGTAGAATTACCACACGAGCAGCAGGTGGTGTGGGTTTCGCCATCGCTTTTAGTCCCTGCACCACAAGCACACGGGCGTTTCCACACAACTTATTCCCTTAGAATGATTTCCTTCTGCCAAGCGTCGCATTACCCCTCCCCACTGTCACAACACAGCTAGGCAGACACTCAACCTTCCCAGCGACAACCACGTTGCCACAGGCTGGTGCCGCCGGCACCTAACGCCCAAAACGTTGTTCCTGGTCATGTGCCCCCAAAATAATGCCTCCAACACGTTTAGCCTGAGAACAAAATGCGTTCATATTTTTATCTGGGGTGTATCGGCCGTGCTTGGTGTTTGGCTCGCTCTGCTTGTTGTCTTTGTCGCCTTCGAAGCAAGGACCATGCAATGTATGTACTGCGCGCTCAGCCCTCGCCGCTACTACGTGGACGTACATTCATGCCTCTGGTACACCCTTGTGAAGGATGCAATTTTTCCTAGGGACCAAGGGATCCGCGGGACTGTGTACATCTAAGGACGAGGCGTGATTGTATGCTGCTGTCCGCCCGCTCTGGTTACTATTGCTGCTGGACAACATAAACCATAGAGAGGCGCAGGGACCTGCTTCTTGTGCATGGGCACAATATGAAAACTGCAATATCCTTGAGATTATCCCCCGAGGCATAAACACATTTTTGGGTACAAACTCCGGGGCATTCTCAGTTTTCAGCGGTCGCGAGGCTAAAAAAGACAAACAAACACATCAGCCCGGGGCGACAAGTCAACGTTGACGGCATGAGTGCTGACGACTATCCTGTGAACGCTCAATGGGTAGCCAAAAAAATAGGATGACCTCACAGGAAGGGGTCGAACAAACAGAAATCATTTGCATACAAACGTTGCCCCAGCGGTAATTAATGGGGTGGGGCGTTCTCAAAACAAGTATTCGGTAGACCTCTCGCCTGCTAGCGGCTCGCCTTCGTCCACATGACATGTGGAGAACAAACTACACCATGAAGTCTGTGAGTATCGCAACAGTGTATCAGTGCTCTTGCGGGCGGACGATGCATACTTTCTGTTGTGGTCAAGGCATCGGGGAGGAAGGGTTTGGGCAGCAGAGGACATGAAGACATGAAGACGTGGCTTTTATTGTAGAAGTCAACCCGCAGGTGTTGGAACGAGCGGAAGAAATGTAAGTTCAGGCAAGGCATTAGAGCAGGCCTAAAAAACGTAAAGGTTGATGACGTGTCAATGACCAAGGAACACGGCGACGGCGGTATGCCAATCGTGAACTACATCGTGGCTTTCAGAGGCGTGGCGTTCAGAGACCCAGGTTCACTGCCGTTTTGAGGAACTCTGCTTTTCGTATGCGATGGAGGGGGCGGTTAGGAGACTCTTCGTTCGCGACGTATGGATGGACAAGAAGTGTCTTCCTGTCCTCTATTTACTGCCGTGGTTTTAGGAACGTGTGTCTGTACTACACCCCTGTAGCATTCCCTCACTGCCAGCTAGTCGTGCAAAGTAGGATAGTGCGCCGCACCAGATAGACCGTTCAGTTAGTCAACGGTAACAATCTGACAACGCCTTGATTCGACTAACGAACGTACTTCGACGAGGCCATGGGTTGCTCGCAGCCCTGTCTATCGTGTCCGTTCGATCTCCTAACCCCCACCAACGCGCATAAACTGACGTACAAAAGACCTCCGTTACTCTCGGGGGAGGTTGACCTGTCTCCACCTGAATCTTGAGGACGCGTCCCTGCGCTTAGGACAGTGTAAAAAAAAACAGGCGTTTCCTTCACCGAGGCATGACTGTATATCATGGCATTTCCGATATTTTCGCTTTTCGAGAACCTGTGCAACGTTCTTACTCCCAGTTGTAAGGCGCGGTGCTGGGGTCATGGCCGCGTCGTTGCGAACGAACGCGCACAAATGGTTTCAACAATTTGTTTGTCTCTTACGCTTCCGTAGTAGCGACCGTGCAACAAATACGTGCATGACCGGTAACTAGAAGCGATAATGCCAGAGGGAACACCAGCACTGCTTGTACCACTGGCCATCGGTAGTAGTAGTACAAGTGCCTCACCAGCGAAAAGATCCTCCAGGTCCTCGTCGATTAAAGTGGGGATAGACTCCACGACTCCATCATCCAATCCACCAAAGAGAGACATGGTGGCGCCTGTCGAGGGCAGTGGACGTTTGGGTACCAGGCATACATGATACAGAGGAGGAATGGAAATTTACCGGGGCTGCCACAGGCTCGATGTTGGGTAGTTCAGCAATTTGACATGTGGTCTCGAAAACCTAAATCGTGCGAAGCTTTTAGAAGACGTCATATTCTATACGCGGTTTGATTGCCAATACAACATTTTCTCATCACCTCATGAGTCGATCATCGTTCGATGTTTACTCACTAATATTTATAGTCCCGCCTATTCACTAACTGGAGAGCTTCCGAAGGTAAATTAATAAACTGTTTTCTTTGGGGGGGAAAGGTATAAAACTAGCACCGGTTGTGTTGTTTCCGGTGAACTGTAAATATGGCACAAAAGGTGAATGTACGCCCTCGCGACGTCCGCCGACGTTTTGGGGCGGTGATTAATAGATTCGTGCTGGAGTTTCCTGTTTTTTTCAAGAAAATGCACGAACAATTCCACCCCTACCTTAACGGCGCGGAGGACTTGTGCAGATCTCCTCTTCAGCAACCCAGGAGAGGCTCGATTTTCGGACTCTAACGTGAGTAAGAACCTACCATCGCGGTAAAAGCGTCCGCACTATTCGCGAGTAAACGGGCCCTTCGTGATATACCACTACAGAATTCTGTCTCCATGTGCGAACCGAACCCTTTGTATGGACTTCGGTGAGTTACACGTAACGACTTCAGACGCTACTGTAGCGGCCCGAGTTCGAAAGCTTGCAGGACAAAGCAGTGAGACCGCAGATCAGACCCTGCGTGAGTGCCTGCGACCGCCGTTTTCAGCATAGCTCTCTCCTGGCACATTCTTCTCGTCGCCCTGATCGATATGAAGCCTACGCACATCATCGTTTATGTTGGTCTAGCCAAAAACAAAAGTGATTCTAAGCGTTGCAGAGTCGGGCCGCCACAATAGCATCCGAGGTGCGTTGTGGCTCGCCGAACTCGATGACAAAGGTCTCGTTTCCATACGTGCGGACTGAAAAATCGTAGCGGTACATCACAAAGGCTTGGATTGTGCGTACCAACCTTGTTCGCTGCGAAGGCGTGCACTTTCATCGTTATGGCACCTTCGTATTGAAGCTAAGAGTTTGGAAAGAAAACAGGCGGTTCCTGGATCGCTCAACAAGAGGCCTGCAATACTCTACAAAATGTGTCCGTGCCACAACTGCTGGAAAGGGTACCAAATTTGTTGCGTCTAGAACACATCCACCGAACTACGTCCCGAAGGATATAGGTGCAAGACATCCTCGAATGTGCACCATCACGTGGTTTTACGAGTGTGAGATCCGAACATGTCTTCAGTATCCATCATCTTATACATGTACGGGGTGCTTTTCGCGGTAAAAATCATCAATGTAGCCGAGGAGGAAATGTTCTGTGTGACTCCAGATCGGATAATTGGACCTCGCAGCAGTATGCATAGCTCACCGAACTCGACAACAAAAAATCGAAAGCCACGGACCACAAATCTGTAGAGGTATCACTAGGGCTGCATTGAACAAGCATGGATAAAACCGCAATATACAGTAACGGTTTTCCCACGGAGTCACGGTTTTTTCCCACGGAGTATATATATATTTGTTCTGTTCTACTTTCACAGCACCACATAAATGACATAATAACCGTGCCAACACACACAACAGTAAGAAAAAAAAAACACAAACAGCAGTCCGCGCCACACACAAACACTATGACGTCCTCGGTTTCTGGCGGGACGCCGGCAGCCCGCGTCTTGACCTCCACGGAAACGTTGTTTCTGCTGCGCAATTCCCCATCTTGTCCATGCTTGCTCGCGTGTACCTTTGCATTGACAGTACTATTATTATAGTTGCCAATCAGAAAGGGAGTTTTCGGGGCTGGGATTCGTGTACAACAATCTTCGGCAGTCGATGCTGCCCGACCGTGTCGAGATGGCGATGTTCCTCAGGTCTAACCCCCATTTTATTCCCGAGATCATGAAGTTGGACATGGAGTTGGGGAAGAAGCTGCTTGCAGCGCAGTTTATTGGGAAGGCTGAAGCTGCATCTGTCCAAGCCGCTCGTGCGGGAGAGCAAGTGGTTGTCGATGTCGAATGTGACTGAGTGAAATCGGGGCGTATGTATTTGGATGAATACACAAGAAACCTGGTGTTACCAGAGTGCTAGTACAAACGACAGGCGAATGAGGAATCATCTGCTGTTGTACGTGTTGCAGGAACATATGACATGATGAGTCGAGGAGGTATCGATGTGGGGAACGGTTCCTTTCTGAAAAATTGATTAATTGAGAGCTGGCTTTTTCTTTTTTCTTTTGGGGCTGTTCGGGCTGTCCTAGCCGCGAGGACGCCTACGGTGTCACCGGCGGCCTCCAACCACAGCACACCGTGCGGAAAAATCGGTCTTCGGTGTACCGACCCCAACGTTTGTCACGAAGGTACTCCGTCGATTTTGTACGGATATCGGTGCGGTTTCGACGTTTTTTTCTGACGGAAAACGGCGTGCTCAACGCCACGGTTTGGCGCGGTTGATGCTACGGAATACGCGAAACCGCTCGGTGAAAAAAACCGCACTACGGATAAACCGCTCCGCTCCACTCCGTGACACGAACAAAAAACCGCTCCGCTCCGTGAGACTTTTGCCCTCGGATAAACCGCTCCGCACCGCTCCGTGATATTTTCAAATGAAAAAAACCGCTCCGCTCCGTGGAACTTAAAAAAATAAAAACCGCTCCGCGGAGCGGTTCTACTCCGTGCACAGCCCAGCTTCTTTTGGGTCGAAGGACCAGCCCAAGTCGTCCATTTTCTTGGTAGGCATTTCTTATTCCTTTGGACTGTCGCATCCTCCTGATTCTCTTATTTTTTATTTTCTTGTTCATGGCTGGCTAAGAATACAGCGACACATCAAACATTCAGGCAGCATTCACCAGCAAGCTCGGTGTGGTGAACATTGGGGGTTGTCGCCCTCCGGGACTTCCTGACTCTCTCTTCTTTGTCCACCTCTAGCAGTACCCACGCCCCAACGGCCGCGGCTTCATCCGTGCTAAATGACTCCAACGGCAACTTCACGCCGCGTGTGCTTCCATCAGAGTGCAGCGTGACGCGGTAGTCGTAGTTGTGACGCGAACTTTGAGATGCTCTACGAGTGGTGACTCTCCCGAACCAACCCAAGCCAAGTTTTACGAGCACCTCTCGCTTCACCAGGGACTGATCAAGGGCAGGCGGTCGAGACGTCGACAGCGCCTTTTGATCCCTGAGGACAATCAATTTCTTCAAGCCCTCAAGAGAGGCGGTGGAGAGTGCGATCAAACCCGTACAGCGGACAGCATGTGGTGGTCCGCGATAATGTGGCAGTACTACACAGTACAGCAGCAGTCCAGTGGGTAGCGCAGCCCGCGGCGGCGTTGGGGCGCGGGGGGCGTCGCGACAATAACCACTCTCCCCTCGGGAGGGGGGTGGGAGCACGGACGGAGCAGCAGTGGGACGTTTCTTCTTGGACACGCTCCCCCAGCTATATACCCATTGTTTCATATGTCTCGGGGGATGTTTCTTATTGGGACGTTTCTCATTTTGTGGCCGACTGAGCTGTGCTTCTTAGCCCTTTTTTTTTTCTTTCGTAAAAATTTGAGCCTATTTTTCTTCACAGAGTTTTTTTAACTGCAGGTCCGTACTGCTGAATGTGTGGCTGAGTTACGTCATCTCACACAAAGTAGCTGAGCACATATTTATTGATCTTTAATCTCGGGGTTCTCACAATTCCCTGCTGGGTTGTTTATTATGTGAGCAGCACATCGTACATTTACATTGTGTACGACAGTAATACCAAATAAATTGTGGATAGTGGATACCGTTGATACACACACGCTGAGCATACATACTGATAGACAGTCCGTGTGTACCTGGCACTGTGGTACTTTTGAGTGTGCACGTCGCCTTCAAGTTCAACACTGACACGATCCTGTCAATTGGGTGCTACTTCCTGCGTTTACAAAAACGACATAGGGGGGTAGACAATGTCGGATGGTACAACGAATTGTATGTGCGTGCAAAACAGCAAAGGGTACATGCTAACATGCTACTTGTACTTTAAACATATTATACGAAGTATGTACTACACACGCTCCTTCGACGTGCGAGGGACATCCAAATATAACGGCACCAGTATTGACCTATCAACACACGCCTCCGCTTGTACTTTGGCACGCACCCGTCGCAGAACCCGTCGTGAAAAAGAGCTGGAGACTGGAGTGGGTCAGAAAAGGGGGCAACTCAGGGCAGGGTGAAGGGTGAAGAGGTAGAGTGAAGAGTGAAGAGGACGCACAACGCGGTAGAACACGCCAACCAAACTGCACAGTCTCGGGCCAAGACACAGCGCAGCGAGAGCGGCGGAACCCCGGCTTTGGTGCATACCCATTTTTGGTTGTATTCAGGTTGCGTACCCCCTTGGCGTCCTGCACAAAAGCTGGACCTGACCACACACGCCACGCTGCACGCCACGCTGCACGGAGAGGGTGTGTGGTATGGATTTATTAGGAACCGGAGGGAATTCTTCTTCAAATGGCGCACGTGAGTCGGCGGGGCGTGGGGTGGAGAGGCTCGTAGAAAGCAATACCATTGCCTCACCCCGAGACCATCCCATGCTTCAAATAGGCAGCAACCAATCCCAGGAGGTGAAGAAGACACACTACCCATACAAGGAGCCTCGGATCGACCAAAGGATGTATCAAGCAGATATTCCTGCCTTGCAAGGCGGAGATTCTAATAGAGCGGTTACGAGGGGATCGTCGTCTCCGCGTGCTGGTGAGGAAGCTGTATGCCCTCCTTTTGGCAGGAGATATTGCTGTGTTGCACCTCGAAAAAGCCGCGCTTCACGACCGAAGACAAGTTTCTGTACACACAGCTGTGCCGAACAAGCAACGGCCTGCAGATGTTTTGACCTCGGGTAGGCAGTGTGGCGTGCGTCGGATATTCGCCGCGGGGCGCCATATGATTACTGTACGTTCTTTGTGTGGAAATAAAAGAGCTGTCTGTCCCTCTCCTTGCGTTCGCTCTCTCCAACTCTCCATCATCTCCAACCCCCGTCTTGTACTCTAGTCCCTGATTTTTGCGCGTCCTGTTGTCTACTTCGCATATTTTGTTTTTTCAGCAACTCCTGATCTCCGCCCGGGCCAGGTGTCAGCGCACGAGAATTGCGTGTGGTCACCCTCTCTAATTGGACGAAGCGAAGGTGAGAATCAACACATCGGTGGTATATAGGAGGGCGTGAGGAGTGCTGGTTTTCTTGGATATCTTCTCCGAGATCCTTGTTGGCCCAGCTGGCGCAAACGCAGCGCTTAGAACCGCCACTCTGCTGTTCGTCTTTCCCTCAGTGGACCGATTCCTCCTGTTCGGGAGAAACCTTCTGCAACAGTCTTCGGGAGAAGCTGTCGGAGGGTACGATTCGGACGTCTTCAAGTGGCGGAATGGCGCCAACAACTCTCTAGCTCCAGACGAGTCGGATGAGGTGGCACTGGAGTTTCTCCACAAGCACGCCGGCGATCTCAGTCGCGCTCAGTTTCATATGACAAGCCAGGTCTCCGGGGGTGCAGGTGCGAAACGGGGCTGGAAGAGGACGAAATCTGGCTGTTTTTCTTGCCTACAAGTATGGAGTGGCTTATCTCGGGACTAGAAACGTCGGGAAGCGTCTGTTTTCCCCACCTTTGCGGCAAGAGCGGACACGCGGTTGTCGAGACGAACGAAGAAGATACGCATTTTTACTTTGGTCCAGTGCTGCTTTGATTAGGGTCCAGAATTGAGAATGGCTTCACAAAAGATGCACTTGTACCAGCACGCTACTGCTGTAGAGCTCAGACCTTTAGCGTAACTGTCGTAGTCAACGTCATTTGGCGGTATTAATCTCGGAATACGATTGTCACACGCACTGCATAGCTTGACCTACCACGTCGCACGCCAACCTAGCACTATCCACGGTAACCAGTACACCGGTCTCACGCCAGCCGATGGTGTTTCAGGTATAGGGTTACGGGAAGGGGATGGGGTAAATATGGGGTGCACAAGAAGAGTTGAAGGTGGTTGCGTCAGGTATTGTTTTTCGCGAATGTAAGCACCTCATGTGCAGAGATTTCCCGCCAAGATATTATTCAATCAAAACTTAGCAGGAGATACATGTCTGCTGGACCTCTGCCGACGTGGTTTTGCAACGGGTGCACCCGGCTGCAGCTCCCGCACGAATCGTTCTGAGTGATTTAAGATGTGATCGCTCGCGGGGCTTTGTGTCGAAAAATGATCTACAGAGCGAAACTCACGTGTGTTTTCCGCCGCGTTCATGTGCGTGGTTGGGCAAGCACAGGTGGACGGTCACTCGAGGTGAGTGAAGCCAAGCGAGGGCCACCCCAGCAGCTATCATCCTGGCAATCCGCGTATACCAGGCGTTTTAGCGCGCTAGGCTTCTTTGAGAGCTCCGACGCTGGAGGCTACATGTACCCCTCTGAGCTGGTTCGGAAGAACTTGGAGAGTTCCTCAGACGAAGAGGAAACTGGATGGGATCCAGAGCGGGAGGAGGACGGATGTGACGACGGGGATGACGACGACGCTGCCGACTCCGGCGAGGCGGAAGAAGATGTTACCGAAGTCGGACCCATTGCCGTCCCGCAGGACTTAGAACGGTGAGACGTCAAACATATTTTCCCCAATACTTGTAGTACAGTAGTTCAACAGCTTCGGTCCAATCCGGTTCTCCGAAGTTTGTGCTGGATTTTTTTTTTCTGGGAATCTCAATCTTTTGCCGCTCCAGAGCGCTGTGAGATTTCCGCGCACTGCCAACAGCAATGTGGTACCTACAGTGATCATCGCCTTTCAGGTGGGGCCGGCCGCCTTGCCGCCGCCTGGCAGCGCCGGTAGGGAGGGGCCGAAAAATATCATGGAGGAGTTTCAGGCGCGCGGTCACGTCAATAGTGCCTACCGTATTTGCTACCTCCTGGGTATGTTTCGACATGTGTTGTTCGGGGGGAGTTTGTGCTTGCTGTGCCTGAACCTACGGTGTTACTCTGACGTAGATAGCAGTTACGGCTTTGACGACATAAATACTGTCGATGTCGAAGTGCGATGCTCTCAACGTTCTTGTGGTGTCCGACACGTCGTGAGAATGCAGCCGAGGTGAAGTCACCGCCTAACTGTTGCAACGTGCACCAACCTAGCACCTACAAGACGTAATGCCTTAGGATCTATCCCATGTGGACCAAATAACCCAAATAACCAAGGATCGCACACCTTCTACATCGACTCCCAACTGTCGGTGAAGGTTCGGCAGGTTCGGCGCAAGAAAAGACGTTCTATAGAATGTTGGTAGCGGTCACCTTCAACATTCAAAGGCAGCGTTGTACACGTCGTGGGCAATCCCTTCTATCCACCTCCTACATGCACTCACCCCAGCTCTATTGTAATGCCTCCGAGCTATGAAAACGGCCGTAACAGACGAATCCCACAAGATTCAAAGTAGTAGTGTCGGTAGCATCTACTCGTCGATGTGGGGTCGGGTGTTGTCTGTAGCCTTGGGTGCTGCTGTGCTGCTTACTGCATATTATCTTTCGGGCTGCTTTCGGGTTTACCAATGACGACTCGTGTATGGTTCATGTCGGTTTTCGTCTCCTCCGTTAGTGCATTGTAGATGTGCCTCACCGCCCGGGTATGATAAATTCGAACGGCTCACGTTGTTCGGCATGTGTAGCCGGCACTCTCCCCTCATCATGCGGTTCGTTTTGCAACACCTGCACCATGCTATCTACTTTGTGCTTTTCGTCTCGTGCTCTTGACTTGCTGTAGCACCGGGCTTGCACGCTTCTCACGTTTGTTTTTCATTATCGCTAGGTCCCGACGAGGTGCGGACAGGGCTGCCTTCAAGAATCGCTGGAAAACTGTGCAAGAGCGAGTGCGCGGAATTCGCCACACCCGCAAACCTTCCCCAAAACCGTCTCTGGAGGAGTGCGTTGCTATTCTGGACGAGGCCGCCTCTCTCCCTCCGCCGGAGCAAGCCCCTGGAGGTAGGCGGGTACCCTCTCTCGGATTACTATTCAAATGTGCCAGACAGTTCGTGGTTCTGTTTTGTACGTCCTGTGTTGCAGTGTGTATGTTTTTCAATCCCTTTGGCGTGTAGAGGGTTGGTGTAAAACTACTCATGCATCCCGAGAGGTTTGTACCAAAATTGTACTCCGAAGTATCTGTCAACATTCTCGATCGCCTCGGTGGTTTGTCATTTCTTTGGTACTGGAGATGTTGGGGTCATTACGTATGCGACAAACGCACGCGCATACGCGGGTTCGAGAATACGCTCGGCGGGCGAGATATCATCGTGTGTACTCGCTCTGAATATTCGCATGCAAACATTGCCCCGGGAAGAGCAGACGGCCGCAGGGATCCTCGTGCAGCCAAGTAGGTCGGGACACCTGCAGGAATTTGAATGCAACACAAAGAATAACAGCGATGGAACGGCGAAGGGGCGAGAAAGCCACCCAGGTTCCACACGACATCGATAGTGAAATGTGACGCAGTTGTGAACGGCTGTTGCTTAGCCTTGGGAGCCAAGGGCAGTCGTCATTGTGTTAGAGTAGCATGTGCTCGGGACAACGGGTGTGTGTTTCACGTTGATGCATTCGTCCCTCTTTTCATTGGTTCGTACGGTCTTTCGAGCAGAGGATTTCGTCGACCAGGCTCAACAATCGGTGGCATTGATCTGGGATATGGTAACGAAGGCCCGAGAGTGGGTGGCAAACGTCGCGGACGTTCTCAATCCGGGCTTGGACCCACGAAAGGTGAACGGGGACAATGCTGCTAGCATAGCGGACCTCCAGAGACTTTTGTCGGAAGCAAACAGTCTGAACGTGAGCGTTGCGGAGGCGGATGAGGTGGCACGCATTATTCACGCGGCTGTTGAATGGCAACGCAAGGTGGACGAAATCCTCACTACTCTCCAAGCTCCGGTCCGGGGTAGAGCCGGGCGCTCGAACTGCGTCCAGCTTTCGACTCTGCGTAACGTCCTCGACGAGGCAGAGCTCATTCCTGTCCACCTGGACCAGAGACTACAACTACAGGAACGAGTTGAAAGTGAGATGTGGATCTGGTTTGACACACGTTCAGTGATGCATATCGTGTGTTTCGCAGAAAGTCAATGCAAGGTAGAATCGGTCACCGCCTGAGTTCCTCACACTCTCGACCAACATTCACAGACAACCAGGTAGACCCCTATTATATATTATAGTACGTCTACCTAGTTTTTCAACGCCCACCATATTGTTACCCGCCCGAAACGGTTCTGTCCGTCGCTTCTTGACTTCACTCTGCCCGCCAATGTCCCTGACTCAGGTACCACCGCGTTGGCAGCTACCATCGCAGAGGTGTTTCCTTCTGGTCGACGCTTGAAGCCACAACCGGCTTTGGCTACGGTACGTGCCGCCCTATGCCCAAACGGTTTGCGCTTAACTAGAGTCATAGCGACCAGAACATACTGTGTAATGCGATCGGTGGATATCATCCCGCCTCCACACATGACTGGTCTGTCTGTTTGCCCTGTCTTGAACGTTTCAGGCTCAAACGCTAATGGACAAAGTGAAGGCGTCCGGGTTAGATTTTCCGGAATCATCCAGGCTCAAGAAACACCTTGCCGCTGTGAATGATTGGCTTAGCAAAGCAAGAGCTGCATTGGCGGGTTCCATCCAGCTCCGCGAGCTTGACAAGCTCCTAACCGAGGCCGACAAGCTGGCGGTGGACCCGGGCCCGAAACTGTCTGAACTTCGAGCCAAGATGGACAAAGCACGCGTGTGGCTGGACAAGGTTCGCAAGGCTGTACCAAAGCAGAGATCAACCCGGCGCAACGCTCCGGATGCTGAGGCCGAAAAGGTGCACAGCATATTTCCCATTTATTGGTTTGACGAAATTTGCAAGCCGAGCGCTGTGCTTGGGTTACTTGTAGCCTCTACGGCGGTAGTGATTTTGCGGTGTTGGTTCTTGCTATCACGCTTGGCGTTCCTCTAAAAGGAGGGTGACATGCTCAATCCCATACCCTGTATCTGGTAAATTTATCTGGGTTACCCGGCCATTCCCCGCACTGCTGTATTCCCGTTTACCCGTATCGTACACACTAAATGCTTGTTCCTTACAACTCGTCTGCAATCATTGTGAACCCGCTTGGGTCGGCCACAGGTGGACTTGAGCCATGTGAAGGGTCTGCTCAGCTCTTCATCGACAACTGGAGTGGAAATGGACATGAAGGAATTCAGCCATACAAACGACCTCATCGAGAATGCAGAAGAGTGGATGACACGAGTGAAGGACATGCTCGAGTCTGGCGAACCGACCACGCTACAGGCACTGGAAGCCCTGCTCATCGAGGCGGAAGGCATTCCAGTCCAAATGGAGGAGCAGCAACTGCTCACGGTTGGCATCAAGTCGCGACAGTGGCGGATTCGCGTTGATGCCACTCTTGCTGCCGGCAAATCGAAACTGCACTCCCTGCAAGATCTCGCAACCGAGGTGAGGGTTGTAACGTTTGGTGCGAGTTTTCACGACCCCTTTATCTATGCCTTTCACTGGTACTGGGGAGCAGTGCTCCACCGTGATTCTCTTGTCGTCCCAGATCGACGATCGACCAACACGAGTCCTTCGGCATTGAGGCATAGCACCCTTTCCTCGTTTTTATTGACGATTGTCGATGCACTTCACACGATGCGTTTGTCACTGTCAGGGCGCAACGCTGCGGGCGGGATTCCCCAAGGATGCCAAGAACCACCGGGTGTATGCCTTTCTAGACGAGAGCAAGCTGCAAGCCCTCATCAAACGGGGAAAGGCGTGGACGACCAAGGCAAAGAACTGCATTCAATCCATGCAAACTGGGCGTGTGATGTCTGCCGCTCACCTACTCAACTTGCTGGAGGAGGCGAAGTCAATCAAAGTTAACCTTTCCCCCGAGGTTAGTCTTGGTGAAAGAAAGAGAGCGCGCCATTTATCGTCACAAGTGCGAAATTCAAGTGTTCACAACCTGTCGGAAGCTCATGAGTACCAGATATGGCTTCCCCGCACACGCCTACAGGTTGAGAATCCAGCCGTACCTCCGCGTCCGTGTCTCTTGCTCTGCAGGTGGATTCTTTGCGCCAGGCGGTAAAAGATCTTTGCGAGTGGCGCGCAGACTACGAGCACATTCTGCGTCCACTTGGGCTATGTTCTGGACTGCCGCCGTTGCATGGTCGGGGTCCAAACACCGCGAATGCTACTAGCAGCGATGCGTGTTCCAACCACGCAGGCCCCGAGGGCGGTGGTGAGGCAAGTATCGCCAAGATGGATGTTGACGGTAACACATCGCAGGGCGATACACGCGAGATTGGTTCGTACGGCGCCGGTGGTGGGGGGGCGGGGTCCCGAGGGGCTGGGGAAAAGATCACGTTGCAAAATCTGTCGGCCTGTATCCATGCAGCGGAGAAGATCGCGGTTGGCCGCAGCCTGAAAGAGGTGCGAGAAATGCGCGCGGTGTTGCAACGTGCGAACGATTGGATCGAGCAGTGTCAAAGCTTGTGTCCTCGGCGCCAAAGCAAGCGCCGCGTCCAGCCCAGTAGCAAGCCAACCTTCGATCGCCTTAAGAGCTTAATCGCACAAGGCCTGGCCTCGCCAGTGGGGGTCACGGACGAGGTGAACCGAGTTCGAAGGCACATCGCTGAGGCTGAATCGTGCCAGCAGAGCGCACAGTCGGTAATTGACAAGGCTTGCAGTGACTTGGCTGACCAAACAGTCGAACGGAAGGAACTCTGGCGTAAGGAAGACGAAGAGTGTCGACACAGAGGAAATTCGCGGCAGGAGAAGCAGCCTTCTGAAAATCCCAAAGACTCTGCACAGCGCAGTGTTCAAGCAGCAGAGGGAGACAAGAATGACGAGAACCGACAAGGAAAACCCGCTGGTGCTGGGAACGATGGCGACTCAGACGACGAAAGCGACGATGTGGACCGTGAGGACGAACTGGACGAAGCAGAGGAGGCAATCGGAAAGGCATTGGAGCAACTCCTCCTAACGTCTAGGGACATCACCGTATTCATGCCCGAGGAGCTCGTGGCAGAGAAAGTGCAAAAGATCATAGGGTGGGCCAGGTATGAGAACACAAGAATTCGAGGCGATGGGCCACAAGGAAAATAGGTAATGATAAGCGTGCCTGACGATCAGCGACAACATCCTGACTTCTGCGTGTACTGTACGGAGGGAGGAAAACCAAATCGACCACATATTACAACCAATAATCTCATTTTGGGTCTATCCGTGCAGTGGTGCAAGAACGACAGACATATCAGTATCGCCATACATTGGCGTGTATCTCTACTACCGCGAACCGGACGAACGTTGCCACCGACACGCCATACAACAATGTGATGGACCGCACGAGGCATGAGCGACGCCATGTGGCCCGCAGAACTTGGACAGCAAGAGAATTTGAACAGCCAGATATTGCAGTCTCTCCAGGCGTCTTTGTTGGCGGCTAGCCCGCGTTTCGGACTGAAATAAGCTCCTATTTGCACATACTCACACTATCCCCTCGTTGTTTTTTGCCCTAGATCGCGATATTCTGCTTGAAAATGTGATCCCGGGCACATGACGACTTAGCTACATTACATTGGCTCACCCTTCATTTCTTCGCTGCTGACACAGAGGCCAACCTTCGTACCCAACATTCTACATTGAAATGGTCCGAGCACGTTCGGAGCACGTTCGGTGCTGGTGTTTAGCGATTCAATTCCGTTAGTGCCATTTGCTGTGGGGACGTAGATTTCGTTGAATGGATGCATTGAAATTCCTTTCCTTCGTCGCCCGCTATTCCGCCTGTATGCTCCCACGCACCACACAAAAGAGCTGCAGCGGCCAAACTCGCTGGCCGAACGAAGGTCAAAAACACCAAGCCATGGTTTTCGAAAGATGTTTTTTTAGGTTACTGGATTTGTGTATTGCTCACACCCTAGGTCGATGTATGATATACATGTCAAGAGCCTGACTCCAACCAAAGCAATCTTGGTACTACGGTGCCAATCCGGGTGTTGGACATGCCAACTTTTCCGAGTCCAGTTTTTGCCGTTTTGAAATGTTGGACCGCGGTGTGCAGAACTAGTCTGGAGAGGCGCCGGGGGAGTGTTGTTGTTATTCTACCTTGGTGCCGTCTGCTCGAGTCATCATCATTCCAATCATAGACTTTCCAAGTCTGCAGTGTTAACTCGACGCCATCGTTCGATCTTACGGAGCCCCTTTTTTCTTTTTGTGGATCAGGAGCGTAAGGGAAAGCGCGTCCTTTGCTGGCGACGGCTTGCAGCTAAGCCAGGCGAAGGATATCGTCAAGGTTGGCAAAGGTGTACTTGGCCTCAACGTTGACAACGAACTGGAGGGGAAAGCGCTAACGCCGAGCATCGTCAAGTCTTTGGAGGTTGTCATCGATTGCTACCAGGGCAAGGTGGAAGAGATCCAAAAAAAGCTGAAAAAAGCAGAGGCATGGATGGCGAAAGCTAAGGAGTTAGTTGGCAGAGAGGCCGTCACGATGGAGGACTTCGAGAACTTGCTCAAAACTGCGGAAGATGTTGGAGTGGAGAATGAAGACATGTCAAAAAAGATTCGGGCAGAGATGGGACGATGCAGGGCATGGGGGGTCAAGGCTGATTCTGCTCTGGAAGGGCCCAAGCTCGGCCTTAACGCCTTGAAAAAACTTATCGTGGAAGGGGAGAAAATCAAGGTGAGAGGGTGGTGAAAACTGCAGACTTCGTGTTATTTGTTGTATATTTTCCTCGAGAAACCCTGGTTAACAAGTCGGATTTGTTGTGTTATGCTACAAGTAACCGATTCTGTGACTGAATCCCCTAGTCCTTCCCTCTTGACACGGTGCACAGACATCCGGGAAGAAGCTCAAGGATTTGAAGCATCAACAAAAGCTGGCGCTCAGGTGGACGACACGGCTGAAGAAGACGGGTATAGAGAAAGGCACAGCAAGCATCAACGAGCTCAAGTCCATGATTCCCGAAGCTGCCGATATTCGCGTCGACCTGACCGACGATATTCGTGTCCTAAAGCAAGCCACGTGCAGCTACTGCATCTGTAGCAGGCCTGGCGAGGATCTAGGTCCCTTGGTGGATTGCAAGAAATGCGGGGAAGGCTACCACCAAATTTGCATGGGCATCAGTCCAGAGAAAGCTGCGGCTCTAGAGGCATCTGAGGAAGGGTTCAAGTGCATTCGCTGCCGCATCAGCAGCCTTTTCACAAGCGCGGAACAAGCGATGCTGACGGCGATGAAGCGCTGGATGCCGTCCACGTGCTTCGCGGACCAGGCAGGGTTCGATGAGGCACCTCTCGGTGATGTATCAGGTGAGGTCCAGTCTAGTTTTTCGCAGACCTTGCTCTGTTAGATCTTTGAGACGGGAATGGAACGTTATGTTCGTCGCGAAGATTGCCGAACACTGATGTAAAGGGATCCATGGTTGCGTATGCAGGTGCGCCGGGTCGGGACCGTTGGCAATCTTCGCAGAACTTTGCTGCTCTGGCTGGGGTAGTACGAGACGCCATGAACCTTCCCCGCAAAAAGATAAGGACCAGCCTTGGGGTGTTGTCCGAGGTGGATAACAACATCAACGCACTCTCAACACTTCCCTGGGGTAAAACTGCTTCAGGAGAAGAGCAGCACCAACACGCCAGGTGAGCAGCGAGACACGCCCTTCCGCTGTGTATGCATATTCAAATGCGTATCAGCTGATCAGAGGCCTTGAATTATTTCAAAATTATAACAACTTCGTTGGCGATGCATGCTCGGATTTCAATGCGAAAAAATCATTGTTTTAGGCAGCAAAAAGAGGTCCGTGGTGGGTGAGTCCCTTGTGCCTGTATGGTCGATAAGCGTCTATTCGTGCTAAAATTTTGCTGAGCCTCAGGTTGAAAGACGTTTGAATGTTTCTTGTTTGATTCGGCTGCACTTCCCGGCGTTGCGTTTGTGGGCAGTCACAAGATGACCCTGCGTTTTTTACCTGTTTCGATTTTGTGTCGCAGGGCTATGCTGTGCAGTTTGCGGGTGTTGCTGTGGTGCACCATGGCGCAGTGGGCGGTGCGAAAGCCTCCATCTGTTATCCTGCTGTACGACCTCGTGTCGCAAGGGTCGCAACTCACACAAGTAGACCATAACCTGCTGGAAACCCTGGGGCATATGGCGAAGAGGGCTTCGCTGTGGGAGGCATCTGTGAGAGATGCATTTCGCGGCCCAGCAGAGAACGTCGACAGCCTCATCGATGTTGACACTCTCCAGAAGCTCCTCGAAGAAGCGAAGCATATCCCCGTGCTTCTTTCGTTGGAGCCGAAGGTTGTGGCAGCCCTAGACGATGGAGGCAACCGCTACTGCCTTTGCCGAGGTCCAAACGACGGCACTTTCATGGTGCAATGCGACGATTGTGATCAATGGTTCCACGGGAGCTGCGTCAACCTCAAGGTGAGATACAGCAATATGGTGAGCAGTCCGCGTTCTCCCACTAACCGCCATTAGTGATGCATCCCCGGGGTAATTTGTTTTTTCTCTGACGTTTGGTCTGCCGCCCATATCTTCGTATCGCGTTGTCAACATCAGGAGGGTGACAAGAGCCTCAACAACTTTGAGTGCCCCGGGTGCGCAAAGAAGAAGGGCGGACAGTACACCCATGGCACGATAGATATGAATGCTCTCAAGGAGCGCGGTGTTGCTGCCGCTGCTGTGGCCCCGGTAGAGGCCGCACCGCAGGGCGAGGAAGAGACAGGCGGCGACGACCCCGTCAGCAACACGTGTATGTGGCCCCCGCCGGAGGCGGAGTATTTCTTCGGTGAGCAAGCACTGGCACGTTGTCTATGCCGTGTAATTGCGGCATACCTACCGGCCAATTTGCTCTGATCTTAATTGACCGTATATTTTCTGGTGCGCACCCCTAACCCCTTCGATGACCTCAGGAACGCTGGACCTGACTCAGCTTGCTGGTTCGGACCCGGGCCCACCTCCCGCACCGGAGCCAGAACCACCAGCAAGTGGAATAATGCATGCAGCGAGTGAAGCATACAGGTTCCAGGAGATGCCACGAATGGCGATAGCAGCATCGCAAGCACCTACGGTCGAGCCGGAGACAACGCAGCACATGGCACCGCAGTATCCTGTGCAACAGTACTTGCCCGCCGCCGGAGCAAGCCCGACAGGACCCCCTCCGTACGGAGGCCTAGCGTATTACCAGCACTACCCACACGCCGTTGATCCCTACAGTCCTCACTCCACCGACCACTACGGGCCTCACATGGCAGCCCCCCAGCAGCAGGCCCTCCCGCCGGACCCGTACGCTTTTGCGACGGCCGGTAGACCCGTGGTCGAGCGGACTCCGGAGGGTGGAGAGGGGGCGAGGAAGAGGGCTGCTGAAGGCGCGGCTGCAACCATTGCTACCGCAGGCATCAAGAGGGCAAGAACTGACGAAAACCCTCCCAGCTGAATGTCTTTTTGTCTAATTTGGAATACGGTTCTGGTTTAGTGTAAGCAGCTTTCAGTATCAGCAAGCGGTGCACATCGTGGGTACCGCCATTGTTTGAAGTTCCGGGAGTTAAAACTCAAATTTGAAATTCACCATAGCTGGCCTCCTGTCTTGCCCATCTCCATGGTTAGTGTACTGTGACATTAGACCTGTCATCATGACATATGACACGCGAAGGGACAAGCGAACTTCAGTTGAAGCCATGCCACGGTTCAGGACTGAGCATTATAGATGGGTTCCATTTTTGTAGCAAGTTGCAGAACCTTCCGGCATTTTCATTCATGTAGATACCATAGTTTTAGAATCTGCGGAAATGACCAAGGGAATTTGTTACTATCTGCAGGATAAGGACGGTTGTCATAGAGGGATTAGGAGAAGGTCAAACAAGTTATGTGCACATGCAACGGCGCAACTGGGGTACCACCGAAGCCAGTAGTCTGATTTGTCGATGTGCGCGTTCAATGGCTGTCTCCAAACGCCACACTGCTGGAAAATAAAATAATGCCAACAGTCGTCTTGGGTCGCTGTACTTGCACGACGTGGCAAAAAAACGTGCAAACCGTTGTTGCTTGTGCTCATCGGTCTTGACTATGGAGCCATGAAAGACCACGCTCACCTCCGAAGTATTGGACATGCCGGGGGGGCTTGGTCCCGCTGTTCCTGTTGGTTTGCGTGTGCTTAGCCCGCGGTAGGTATACCTGGGTATCGTTCACCCTCCTGAAGTGGGAGCCATCTGTTTGCTGCGATTTAGTAACGCAGTTACGCAAATTGGCCACCTGGAGTGCCCTACGGCGAAGAACCCATTCGTTCCAGTGATACTCGGGGTCAATACACTTCTCGATGAAGTGCACCGGTGTGTCGGTGCCAGCTTCACGCTTTTCTGGAGGGGCCAAAGCAAGGCTGGGGCGAACTTTTCCGTTGCCGTTTTTACCACCTTGCAACATGCGAGTGATGCATGTCTCTGGGAATGAATCCTGAAGGCGAAGCAGATGGATCAGCTCCGGGGATGCCACAGCACGCTCAAGTGTGGCCTTCAAGAACAACTCAGGATCGCTCATGAAGGTCGATATGGCGACTTCATGGGCGAATACAAAGAATCGGTTTTTGTATCGTATCACTCCGAGCTCAGGCTTGCCGGGAAGAAGTAAGCCTTGCCTCTTGACGATGGTCCACGAACAAAATCCTTGGTACTCCAGCGGCAGCTGCATAAACTCTGGTGTAGATTCAATAGATAGTTTCACCGGCTGTTCGATCGACTGGTCTTCACGACGAACGATGGCGGGCTCTTGCCCTCCTGGTACGGGCTGTTCTTCGATATGGTCGCTAGTGTCTCCTCTGCGCCCTTCCTCATCGGCATCCTTTCCCTCGTTTGTGTAACCTAGGGGTGGCTTGTTTTCTGTTGCACCTGTCGGCTCCACGTTTGTGCTGGTGATGCCAACGGCCGCCTCGGCTGCCCGAGCATTCTCTTCTAAAGCGGAGAGCTCGCCTGATTGAATATCCATTCCACCTCGAATTGTTGGGGTGTACGAATCCCGAAATGCCCGGAGGACGTCTGTGGTTCTTGTCCGTCCGGATATTACCTTGTACTCTCGATACAGTGCCGTCCAGTGAGTAGCAATTTCATAGAACTTCGGGTAAACGTGCTCCTTGGGAACTGATGCGCGATTTCCCACCAGCTCCTCCAAATCGCGCATTTCGGACCTGATGGTGTCGCGGAGTAAACCAACTTTGCGATCAGACACCGCCATATCTTCTTGTAAGCTCTGCAAATACGACAAGTATTGCCGCTTGTTGGTCAACTCGTCCTTCCAGCGGCTAAGCATGTCCGCCGTAACCCCTTGAGGATGCCGCAACTCACTGTGGACGATGATTTGCTGGAGTTCTGCACAAGTTTGCTGCGCCTGTTCGAGCTCGTCTGAAAGCACACGTCCCATATCTAGGAGGAGCGTCGCAGCTTCTTGTTCGGGGTGTGGAATGTTGACACCGCCCTTACCAATATGCTGGTTGAACACGCGAATTCCCAGAACAATATTTGCGAGTTCGTCGAGTTGAGCGTACTTCTCCTCACTTCCGAGGTTGATGAAGGCTTTGAGGCTAATGCGCGGGAAAACGCTTTCGAGGGCAGCCGCAACCTCCCGCTCAACTCCTCGCCCTAATCTTGAATCATCGCTCGCATGCCGAAGAAGATAAGAAAATATCTGTGTGGGCAACGACAAATAGATACCAGGTCAGAACGACACTCGTCAGGTACGGGCACGAGTAATGGCGAGAAGAAGTCATTGTTGTATTCTCACGGTTGTGTTGCTAGGGTGGCGTTTTAGTTGCAAGATAGAGGGTAAGAAAGCGCCGGAGATACCACGAGCACCAGCAAGCAGTTCAAGGCGGGGGGTTATCTTCCTACGCACCTCTCCCGTCCACCGTTGCTACAGCAAAACCACGTGGGAGAAACGAACCACACAAGAACGCACACCCCACACGTAGTACCGTGGATCAAAGATATCAATGGATGAAACTTGGCCACTCAAATGAAGCAGTATTTCGTACTTCGTTCTTCGTACTTCGTTCTTCGTATAGGATTTTAGCAAATTAGTCTAACCCGCTGGACGCATTGAGCAATGTCGCAACGAACAACGCCATGACGAACACCGCTACATGGTCTATTCGCCGGCCGGTGGACGGGTCCTCGACGCAAAGACCAGAAGTCGGAGCTGATAACGACGAAGACATCAGAAAGGAATGGACAATATGTGGGTTGTTACCTGCATGCTCATCCCACGGGCGTAACCCAAGCCGAGATGTGCTGCTGCCGTGCATCGCAGCGAAAATGGATACACCGACGCAGAGTGTTTTTTGCGTTTGCTCACATCGACGATGGGCATTTCTACAGTGTAGAATAAAAATCTGTGGGTATGAGAGGCACCTGACGATGAAGAGCCGTTAGGGCGTCGAAATCAGCTCCATCCTTTGGTCGCATTGTTGCTATGGTTCGTTGCATCTCCCTTAATCGTGCTGTTCGCCGTTGGTGTGAGTTCATTAGACCCTCTTCCTCGGTGATGTAGCTTGAGTCCACCGCAACCTGCATCTTTATCGTTTCTAGTGATGGGGAGTCCACCTCGAGCAGCCTGTCAACACTCCGGTCGATCAAATCGCCCAGCCCTTCTTGAGTTAAGGGGCTGTTTAAGCTGAATAGTGCTTGGCCATTCAACCCCGGCTTTTGAATCACCTGCGAACGGATGTTGGCGACCGAGTTCATTTATTGTAGACTATGAATCGGCAAGGGTTTCGCTGTGATGCCATACTAATTTTCTGCAAGATATGGGCCTTCAGAGGCCCCTTGCCATACGGCGTCCATTGCTACGCTATCCCCCCCCCCCCCCCCTCCACAGCCCATTCAATTATTTCATCTCATTTGTTTCAGTATTCTGGGGCTCGCACTCACCGTCCTTGCCACGAATGCAGCCAGCACCTCGGACACGGTGACGCCGCGCGAAGCACATTGCCGCACGACCTTCCGAACAAGCTCCTGTATTTCATCCATGTGTAGGCACCAGAACTTTTACTGTCGCACTTTTGCTGCCGAGCGAACATGAAGGCGTGTCCTACAAGCGCGCGCCGGAGTCACATGGACAAATGGAATTAGCGCCAGGCATAATGCTGCCGCTGAAGACGTTGTATTCCGAAAACACACTCAAAACATAAACGAAACGGCATGAAAGTCACCGAGGTACCTGCAGGTTCTCGTTGGGGGCCACAAAACTGGGAATGGCAATGCAGAAAGGGGGGAGTACGAACCTGCCCGCGAACCTTTTCGTTGCTGCTGTGTGTGACAACCAGTGACCACCAGCCACCCACAGCCCATAGCCTACAGTCACCACAAACAGCCGCAGTCGTTGTGGGTTGTAGACACGGTCGGTCACAGATAACCCGGACGTGAAGGTGAAAATGTCCTCCCGTGAGCTACTCGAGATGTTGGGGAGCGGTGCCGCATTCGGAAGGAAGGCACAGCAGCAGCCAGCGAGCGAAAGGAGGAACCCCCGCCCGCCAACTCAATCCTCGATCAACTTCTTCGGTTCCGCTGGTGCTCCCAGTAGCGCGGCTGGAAAAAAGAGGAGGCGGGTGACCGCTGATGAAGAAAAGGGAGTAGCTTCAGCAGCCAGCCAAGCTGGGGTGAATGGTGTGCTTGCGAATACGGCTGCCCGCGCATCCTCCAAAGAAAAAACAAGTGATTCAGCGAATCTGGCGTTGTTCGGCAACATGAGCAGGTCTTCGGAAGGAATGAAGGGTAAAAGTGGCATTAGTGTTGCCGTGAAGGGTGGGGTGGAAACAGGAGAAGCGAAGGCGAGGTCGATTCGTCTGGAAGAGGTTGCATGCTTTCGGCGGAGAATGGGCATCAAGGTGAAGGGTGAAGAAGTTGCGGACCCCATGGAGTCTTTCTCGGAGATGCCATCAGCGACCACTTCGGAGGACGCGGGGCAGACGAGGCGTGTTCTTTTGCACAACGTCGAAGAGTCCGCGTGGAAGGAACCCACGCCTGTGCAGATGCAAGCAGTGCCCATCCTTGTTGCCGGCCGGGACTTGCTAGCAGCGGCTCCAACGGGCTCAGGAAAAACAGCTGCCTTCGTAATGCCTATGATACTCAGGCTGGGGGTGCAGCGCGCAGACCCTCAGGCGTCTGGTGTACGAGGCATCTTGCTCGCCCCGACCCGCGAGCTTGCTGCGCAGATACATCGTGATGTGGTTCGTCTCTCGCGCGGGCGAAGGTTACGCGTATGTCTGTTGACGAAAGCGGGTGCAACCAAAGCCGCAGCTGCGACGGGCATGGACAGCAGGAACGCGCTGTCTGGGTACGACATCGTTGTGTCGACCCCGATGCGTCTGGTGGCGCTTGTGCGTGAGAGGGCAGTGTGTTTGGCGAGCGTCGAAATGGTGGTGCTGGACGAAGCTGATAAGCTCTTTGACGCAGGGGCAGCGTCTGGTGGTAGTGACAAAGCTTTCATCGGCCAGGTGGACGAGGTGCTGGCGGCCTGCTCTCATCAACAAGTGCAGAGGGCGTTGTTCAGCGCAACCGTTGGGCAGCAGGTGTGTACTGCTGTGTGACTGGCATGTTGCGCCGTAGAAGCATTGCTTTCCTTGTTTCTGTTGGCATGTTGTAGCCATGACATCGCTCACCGCATGCTGCCTACCGTGCCATTGGAGGCTGCGGTTCTCGTCCCACGTTTGGCCCTTTTCGAAGTAGCAAGAACTGGGTTCGTCTCTCTGTTTTTCTTGCCGCAGGTAAAGGAGCTCTCAGAAAGCGTCCTCCGCGACCCTATATTCCTTACGGTGGGCACTCAAAACGCTGGTGCGGCAGACATCGACCAGCGCCTGGTGTATGTAGGGAGGGAGGAAGGCAAACTGCTAGCGATCCGGCAGCTGGTCCAAGAGGGACTGCGCCCTCCTGTCCTTGTGTTTCTGCAGTCCAAAGATCGTGCCAAGGTACGTCATGCACGCAGTAGCCCTCACCGAAACGATGAGCCCGCGGAAACAGGCTCATTGGCATCAAGTCATGTCGTGATCTCCCAACTCCTTTCACGTTTCATCTGCAGGCACTGTTTCACGAGCTCGTGTACGACGGCATCAACACGGACGTAATGCACGCCAGTCGAACTCAGGTGTCTCCCAACTCCTTTCACGTTTCATCTGCAGGCACTGTTTCACGAGCTCGTGTACGACGGCATCAACACGGACGTAATGCACGCCAGTCGAACTCAGGTGTGCAGTGGTTCAGAACGTTGTCTGTGTCGAGGCGGAAGTTGGTGTGCTCTAAAATTCGGCATTTGCTCCCTACAACATAGTGACGCTGAACGTATGCTTCTGTAGGGCTTTCAAGTACGCGAAGGTAGCTGTCGGGCGATCAGCTTGTCTCAAAGGTGCCTGCTCGCAAAACATGATTGTCTACATACATGTTTATTTTTCGTCGTTGCAGGACCAACGTGACAACATCATCCAACGCTTTAGGACCGGTGAAATTTGGGTCCTCATCTGCACGGACCTCGTTGCACGAGGCATTGACTTCAAGGTGAGAGAGAAGACTGCGGTATTCTGATGAAAGGCAACCAAGTTGCTCTAAGGACTCGGAAATTTTGTACCACATTTTAGTGGCTTTTGTTTTCGAGGCGTTTCCCTGATGCCACTGTGTCTTTCCTCTTTTCTTCGCTGTTGTTGTCGTCTGTTTACGTGTGTATGCCTCAGGGGGTCAACATGGTCATCAACTACGATTTCCCACAGAGCGCTGTCTCCTATATCCACCGCATTGGGCGAACTGGCCGAGCCGGCCGCCATGGCGTGGCTGTGACCCTCTTCACAGAGTCCGACATGAACTCTCTCCGCAGCATCGCCAACGTCATACGCCTAAGTGGCTGTGAGGTAAGAGTTGCATTGTTCATCGCGTTTATGTGATCCTCGCTGGTTACTCGCTGTGGTAAACCCTATTTCACAGGAGGTGGCGTGTGGAGGTAGACCCGTGAAATGTATGTTTGAGCAGCCTCTACTGCCGCCCTGTGCGAGTATCAACGATTTCTGCCTTCGCCACGCACATATAGGACGCGTGCTGCATTTTTTCTTCCTTGAAGCTCGGCGGAGATGTAGAAAATCAGAGGCTTAGGGTCTGCTAAGACTGTGTAGTCAAGAACAGTTCCCTGGTGGTTTCCTGGAGTTAGATTGCTTGGTGTGTTCTTTTCAGCGAACGTCAGATCTGCTGAAAAGAAGTCCTCACTAAAAACAAGATAATAGGCTGGTGACGCAAGTCAGAAGTCTATCTGTTCAAGTGACCGGTGCTACGGATATAGATTTATATCACAGAATAAGGGCATGGAGGAGAATGTGGATGGAAAGAAGGAGAATCGCCGGAAGCAGGATTTCTGAGCGAAATGGCCGCTGCTGCTGCTGCTGTCATTTTCTGCTGGAAAAGCCGAAAAATGCTGAAGGACGTTTTTAAGGTGATTTTTCTAGACAAGTTGGGGAAGGGCATTTTTTTTTGACAGTCCATA